TCATTTAATCATCTAGAGCTTGAGATTCCCAACTGTCTGCTGAGGAGTAGAAGAAATAAATCAAATGTCCTTTCAACCCTTAACATTCACTCAATGATTCTGTATCTACTAGACATTACAGACAGTTCATACCTCCAAATACACTGTACTCATGACATATGGAAGCTATTATTGGTGCCAAAAAGAACAGGCTGATTTGTCTTCTTCGATGCCAAAATATATCAAGTATGCATTGATTTCCATCACTTTCAAAAAAGAAATTTTCAATTGCAAATGTCAAAGAAATAAAATGTAAGCAAAAGAAAAAGCCAAGAAAAAATTACAATGAAATTGAACATGTATATAAAATGCTATTTCAAAATATTTTTTCGGGAATCAAGCAAAAGAGACTAATGACTTAGCAGCAAAATAAGTGCCATAAACCATCCTGAATCACTAACACTATGAACAAAAAGTTCTTCCTACCCATAGAATTCTTATAGTGTGGGAATTGTGTAATATTGAAAATCAAACACAGAACAATATATATGCAACATAAAATCATGAAAGTTTCTGGCTCTGCTTTTCAAAAACCAGTTTCTCAGAGAAGGATAATAAGAAGTAAGCTGTGAAAATGCAATACAAATTCCACTTAAATGTTATTCCATCAAATGAGAGGTACTTGTGACTCTGGTGACAATTTAGGTTTAGTTGTTCTTCTATTGCTTAGTAAAGTCAGAAGTAATCTTCAATTTTAAAAAGAACAGAAAAGGAAGAGTGTGGCAAGCAAAACAAGCTATATTACAAAACTGACACTGATAACATCTAACAATCAACAAACTCAGGTGCCAGACAACCCAAGTTCAAATCCTGATTTTAATACTTAGTAGCCAATGTGGTTTAATAATTACCTAGTTTCCTTGTGTCTGTTCCTCAACAAAACACCTACTTTATAAGTGAGAATAAATTTACAGCTGGGGAGACAGCTCAGTGGTCTAAGTGAGAGGACCTGGATTCAATCCCCCATACCACACGCCGTGAGGAACCCAGACCCCAGGTGCACTGAGCTAGCCAGTGAAACCAGGCATGGTGGCACATGCCTGTAATCCCAGCACTATGAAGATTGAGACAGGAGGATCACTGTGAGTCAGAGCTGTGTAGTGAGACCCTGTACCAAATAAATAAATAAATAAATAAATACTTTATAAGAAAAGTGCAAAGAACAATGCGTGTCCTATTACAAACACCACAGAAGTATTAGGTAATATCATTGTTATTATCTGTACTAGTTTTTTACTATCTATAGTCAATGTATGCTGACTCAAGTTGAACAATGAATAGCAGATATTATGTTTATAGTTCAAAAACTGTATCACTTGAGTTGATAGCCCAACTCCAAGGTCTCACCTTCAAATTGCAAAATACTGAGTTGATACCTGTAGAAAGCATAATTCAATATTCATCAAAAGCCTAGCACTTGGTTCATCCACACACTGGAACATTATTCAACTTTTATAAAAGAACATAGGGCCAGGGAGATAGCTCAGTGGCATAAGTACCTGCCTGGCAAGTACAAGGTCCTGAGTTTGATCCCAAGTACCAAAAATCAAAAGGGGGGGGGAATATAAACTGGGTGTAGTGACGCATGCCTGTAATCCCAGCTCTCAGGAGGCTGAGACAAGAGAGTATTTGTGAGTTCAAGGCCAGGCTGAGTGACAAAGTGAGCTCAAGGCTAGCTTGCCTCAAAAAAAAAAAAAAAAGGAATGTGGTTCTGGCATACATTATCACATGGATGAACTTAAAATATTATGCTAAGTGAAACAAGCCAGTCACAAATACTGCATATACTGCATGATTCTACCTACATGAGAACCTAAAACAGGCAAACTAAGAAACAGAAAGTAAAATAGATATTACCAGGAGCTGGGGGAAGAAAAATGAGAAGTTGTTTTAATGGGTATGGGGTTTCTCTTTGAAATGATGAAAAAGTTCTGGAAATGGATAATGCTGATTATACTGTACAACACTAAATACATATGTGCTTAGTACCACTTAAATGTGTACATTTTTACAACAATGAAAAGAATCATTTTTACAAAGTACAGCATGTATTTTGAACAGAAAGTTGTAACATAACTAGTAGTCATAATGGTAAGGACAGACTACTCATTCTTATGTTTGTAACTATGGACACCAAAGGAGTCAATATCAAACCTTTGCTAACTTGGTTTGACATACACACTCCAAAATGTGTACATACCTTGTAAATGTTATGAGGAACATTATTCTTGTTGATATAGGCCATTTTTAAGTTTACTGTGTGCTTTCTTTTTTTTATTGTATTTGGTTGTTGCAGGGTCTCACTTATGCAGCTTGGACTTATGATGATCCTCCTGCTTTCAGCCTCCCCAGTGCTGGGATTACAGGTGAGTACCACTATGCCCTGGACTCTGGGCTGCCACGGCATGTGGTGCCAGGGATTGAACCGCAGTCCCTGAGCTTGCCTAAATTTGCCTAAGCAGGCGCGTTAGTCCACTGAGCTATCTGGCTGGCCCAACTTTTTAAGTTTTTTAAAGAGAATGGGAAAGAAAATGGGAAAGAAAAAAATATATAATGAAAAATACATTTATGTGTGCCAATGCATAAAATGGTACTTTTTTTTAAAGGAGATACTTATCCGTATAGAACCATAATAATATGAGGGCAACAGAATACTTCTGCAGGGGTTTCCACCTACTAGTACATCATAATTTAAACCAGTGTAATAGTCTCCAAATTCAAAACAGAAATTAAAAGTCCACTATTGTGATATACATAATAAAGTGCAATAGCTTAAATGTCCATTTCAAACATCTCAAAGTACTTTTCGCATAACAAAGACACAATGAAAGTGAATTTAAGAAGTTGGTATTTTTCCAGAATGGCTTAGGCTGAAATATTCCAGTTAGATTCATTTAATCATCTAGTAAACTGCTAACTACCATATTTCAAATACCATTCAAGGAACAACAACTGTCAAAGAATTATAATGTAACTTTCAAAGACATAAAACCTAATAATATTAATAAACACTTACCTGGCCTTATAATATACCTGGCAACTATTCTAAACTTTTCATATGTATTAACTTATTTTAGCCTCACAATAATATTATAAGTAATTCTTATTACCCCTGTTTTTCAAATAAGAAGACTAAGATGTAGAGGGACAAGTTCTTTACCTTTACCTTGCTAGTAAGTGACAGAGCTAGGATTTAAACTTTAAAGGCTGGTTCTGCAATCTATAGTTTTAATCGCTGTCTCACTATCTGTAGGAAAAATGAAGAATGGACTACAGGAGAATGGGCAAATCCAAACTGCAAAGCAATTTAGAGATTAAACGTAATAAATGCTCTGAGGAAATCAGCAACTTACAACACAGGACAATAAATGATGTTTATGATTGCATAAGAGAAAGCTAAATCTGTTCAGTATGCTTAGTGTTGAAGAAAGCAACAAATGGTTCAGTACATTTACACTCTTTCCACGCTGTATGATTTTCATTTCTCAAGAAGTAAAGGGCTCCAAACAGGAGGCATTTATTGAGCAATCTTATTTGTCATTTATCTTACTGTCAAGATAGTATGGAGGGATCACAAATTTTCAGATCTCATATGAGAATGTACTGAAAGATAAGTGTAACCCCTGTTGGACAGACAAACAAGCAATGCCATAGAATTATGTGTAATTACTGTGAAAAAGCCTAGAATTTGATCACTTAAAAAAAAGTCATCTTAAAAAAACTTTTTAAAAAGTGCAGCTTTTTTTATAGACCTGAATTTAAATCTTTCCCCTGCCATTTCATTAGTGTGAATTTTCAGCAAGCCAATCCTATATAACTGAACCTCAGGTTTTTTCCTCTGTAAATTAGGGATAATAATTCCTGACTCACAAAACTGTTGTGTGAGCTAAACAGAAGATACATGCAAAGTGTTGCACCCCATCCCTGCGATAGAGCAGATGGTCAACAATAAACAAGTTCTACTCCAAATATTGGAAGAATCTTATCAATGAGCAAATCACTGGTAGGCTTCTCAGAATTACTGTATATTAAGTGCAATATACTGTATTCAAAAAGGGATCATACTAATAACACAACAAAACCCTTAAGAAGTATTGCAGAATTTTGTCTTCTCATCTACACAGCACCTACTCTGATTGGTTTTGAAATGACCTATATTATTCCTTTATCAACAACATGAAGACTATTATTTTAGCGATTTAACCAGTCCTACCTAGACGGATGTTACTCATTTATTTTGAGGGCTACCTTTGCAGGAGTAATTGTCATCATTGCTTGAAAACCAAAAAGGAATCCAGGGGCAAATCTAGTATGTGAGCATTTTAATGAAGAGCTATTTACTGTTCCGTGTATCTCAAACTGAATGGATCCCAGGTGAATCATTATTACAGTAGATGTTCATATTATTGCACTGCCGCCGCCGCCGCCACCCCCTTACCCCCAAGCGCCAGCGAATACAGGGGTTAATGAGCAGCATTGTCAGCTGATAAAGAAGCTATGTTCCTTAAGGACACCAACCTCAAAATGCGATGCCCTCAATAAGGATCCTGGGGACGAGGGGGAGTGAGGACAGCCTTCACTGCAGGTGGAAAGGAGCAGAATCGAAACTCTTCTGCTTAAATCACACTGGGGACGAGCCCTGTACCGCTGAGGGGCAGAGCCGAGCGGATGAGAAGGGCCTGGAGGGCAACGAGGAAGAGGACAGCAGCGCGGGCTTAAGCAGAGGACAGTCAAAGTCCCTCGCCATCCCGAGCGCTGAGGCGCTAAGCGGTGGCTCCTCTGCCCAGTTTCCCAGGACGGATTCCAGACTAAGTGTGGGAGAACTGAGAAGGGAAGGATCCCCGCTAACAGAACGAAGGTGAGGGCAGGGCCGGGCTCCCGGCAGCCTTCCGAACTGGATACTCCTGCCCCGCGGTTCAAAGAGACAAAGGCAGGGGTCCAACTGCGAGCGTGTAGGTTACCTGTCTTAGCGGACTGCCCACAGGCCTCCACTTCCGCGGACTCCGGGTTACTACGGGCTACCAGGCACGCGCTGAGTGACGTCATCCACGCGCGCCCGAGGCCTCGGAGCCCGCCCCCTTGGGAAGGGAGGACCGGGCCACCAGGGTAGGTCTACGCAGGCGCAGAGCCGCTGCGGACCTGGGAAGGTGTACGGCAGCGGTGCCTCCGGGGCGTAACTGCTTCTAATTGTAAAATCTCCTGGGTAATTTTTTTAAAAAGTTATTGAAATACAAATGTACACGTTTTATTTCCTTAGTCTCTTCTGCTTCTGCTGCATGCGACTCTCCACATATTCATTTTGCCACCATTTATTGAGCTCGCTGTACGGGCCGGGCCAGCGCTATTATACCGTGGGAAAGTGCATCCCGCAGCTCGCAGAGGCTGGGCCGGCCCTCGGGGAGAGTATTTTCTAGTTGAGAAAGCAAACGTGGAGTAACTCAAAGATTTATGCTTTGTACAGGCGCTTTTAGAGATGAATGTGTAGATGGAAAAGATTAAGCTGTTGGGAAACTTAACAAAGCAGCTATCCGTTTCGTCAGAGACGCCAAAGTGCCCTCTGCAGAGGCGCAATAAACTACAGCAGAAGCCGCCGGTTCTGGGAGACCTGCGCGAAAAGCCTTCGAGAGAAATGTTTACAGTGCTGCAGCGCGAGGAGGGGCCGCAGCGGTGCCCTTGGAAAGCAGGCGAGGAGAGTCCCGAGTTTGCAGAGCCTGTCTGGGCTGTTGGAAGGACGACAGATTCTATCTCAGCTGCAGCGGGAAGCTAGTGGAGCAAGAGGATCTAGTTTTCTAAGACCCCTTGCTAGCGTGTGTATATGAAAAACAAGAGGCAAAAAAGGATTCAGAGAGCCCAGTTGCTTTTCCGATTGAAAAAATTCCCTACCCCAGTCTTGTGATCTGTGTAGAGGCATAAAGAACCCAAGGCCAAAACAATGTCTGTCTGTCTGTCTTTCTGTCATTTCTGAGCCTGTTGGCTTTTTTAAAAATTAAGTTTATCGGTACATTTTAGGTAAACATAATGATCACATTCATCATGGAGAATTTGTACCTGTACATGATATATTTTGATTCTTTTTTAAGCCTGCCGACTTTTAACTAATACAGTACTTATATTCTCTGGCCCTCAGATGATTTATACTAAAAAGGAGATAAGATTAAAGCTGTTGGTTGCCATATATCGGCTGGAGAAATTGAATAATACCTGCAAAAGAAAAAACAAAACAAAAAACCCTAACAACTTTAAGGACTAGAGGTAGATGTGACAACTGTAGAGATGGATTAGATAAGGACTATAAGGAAAAGAAAATAAATGTGTTAAAAATGACTCCTAAATTTTGGATAAGCAAAACAGCTGGATAGATTGGTGCAAACGAGACTTGTTCCTCCTTTATCTTCTCACCAACCCTCTGTTCTCAGTTTCCTCTCCTCTCCTGGTGCTTAATGCTCTTGCCCCTCCTGTGCTGTATCAGACTTTAAATTCAAAAGCCTTTACCAGCCGTGCAGTTAGCATAATGGAGTCAAGCCCGTGAATATGGGGAACTGGAGTTCTTGTCCTGCTCAGTTTGAATTAGCCTTTGCCAACCATTAAGCCAACCCGGTGGTGTTGAATCCTCGCATTCTTGTTTTTATGTTTTTTTGTTTTGTCTTTGGATACCTAGGATTGAACTAGGACCTTGCACTTGTTAGGCAGGCATGTAAGCTGCTGAGCTACCTTCCCAGTTCAGATCCTCTCATTTTTAAAGAGAAATAAATATAAAAATACTCATACTTTGTTAAAACTTTCGTGTGGACCAAATAAAGTGTATGTGCTGGCCAGAGGAGGCTGACAGGTTACAACTCTGCCTGCTAGGTGGTGTTTTTCCAAAGTGATGACTTGGTTCTCCTGTCACTATCATGTGGAAGCTGACAGCTCTCAAATTTACCACTCCAGGAGCTCCCGAGATGCAATCAGTTAGCATGCAGTACTTATACTCAAATTTACCACTCTATTCAAAACATTTGAGGTTTTTTTCAATTCAAATACTCCAGTTTGACTTCTATGCTAGGAATGTTTTCTACCCACAACTTATTTATCCTGTCTCAGTAATGGCATCAAAATTCTAATCACCTAAACCTGAAGTCTAGGATCATCCCAGACTTGTCCCTTTCCCTTCTTCCACAGTCAAATCAGTATTACATCTGTAGAGCAGAAAAAATGAGGAAGTGTAACTGTAATATAAAATTGAAATTTTCTCTAGAACATACTTTGACAAAAATCATTGGTTCAAGTGTAAATTTGATTAAAATACTTATGTTCACACACAAAATCAATACCTTAAGATAAAGATGATCCTGCTTTCAAGAAGATTGACACAAAAGTTCTTACAGACTCTGAGGAACTTCATGGAAAATGGATGTTCAGTGAGTTACCAGCTCTAGTTTCAAGATGTTATCTTTTTTTTTTCTTTTCTTTTCTTTTTTTTTTTTTTTTGAGACATGGTTTTACTATGCAGTTCAAGCTGATCTTAAACTCACTTTGTAGTACAGGCTGGCCTTGAACTTGCAGTGATCCTCTTGCCTTAGCCTCCTGAGAGCTGAGATTACAGGTGGGAGCCAGCATGCACAGCTCAATATATTACCTTCTACAGAGGCCAGCCAGATAGCCCAGGGGATCAAAGCACCTGCTTAGGCAAGCACAGGAACTGGGTTTGATCTCCAGAATGCCATGCGGGCGCTGATCCCAAGGCGCACAGAGATGATGATTGAGACGGGCTTGGTGGTGCACGCCTGTAATCCCAGCACTTGGAAGGCTAAAAACAGGAGAATCACTAGGAGTCCAATCTGTGTAGTGTGACCCTGTAGACTTTGTACTAAAAATACAAAAAAAAAAAAAAAAGATGTTATATTCTACAGAACATTGCTCTCGAAGTATTTATGGAAAACTGAACCTAGGTTATATTTAATTTTCCTGATCAAGTAACAGTAAAAAGAAAAAAAAAGTTGTTTATAGCTTGCCTCAGGCTGAAGTAGGTACCAGCAATGGGTAGCCGCAAGGTAGGAGGATATAATTAGCCACCCTGTGATATCTTTCGAAATCTTCCAACATGACTCAATGCTAGTGAAGAAGGGAAATTTCAAACTTCAAATATTTGATGTTTCTCAATAATATAGCAGGACAGACATACAATGATTTGAACCAATACCCTGTATTTCCCTGGGTGTTGACAAACTATGAATCAGAAGAATTGGGCCTGACTCTTTCAATAAACCTCAGGGATCTGTCAAGGCCAATTGGTCTTTTGAATCCAAAGAAAGCAGTGTTTAACACAGAGCACTATGAGACCTGGGAAGATGAGCAAAGCCCCACCACCACCACCACCACTATAATACAAATTATTCCACAAGGACATCTACCTTATCCTGGCTTGTTCAAAGTGAACCTTTCACAACCTTCCTCAGTGCAGATGATGGGTGACTGGGGAGACAGCTCAGTGATACAGCACCTACCTGACAAGTGCAAGGTCCTGAGTTCGACTGCCAGTACCAAAAGAAGAAGAGGGAAGAGGAAGAGGAAGAAGAATGATGGAAAATTTGACCATCCAGATGGGACCTTCTCATCAATTGCAAAATCTTGGAGAACTAGTCAAAGAGACACATCTGATGTAAAGAAACTAATTCCAGAGTTCTACTACCTGTCAGAAATATTTGTCAACAGTAATGAATATCATCTTGGTGTCAGAGAATATGAAGTCATAAATTATATTGCTCTTCCGCCATTGGCAAAAATACCTGAAGGCTTTGTATAAATCAACAGGATGTTTATTTTTAATTAGAATCTAAGCTTTGAATGAATATCCTTCCCTGATAAAGACTTCAAGGTCAGTAGCCTTCAATGGACATTCAAAAAACATAAAGCAATTTTCTTAATTATCTACTGAAAAAAATCAATATCTCACGAGGTCAAAGTAACAGGAGTTAGCATCTTGTACTTGCTCAATAACTCTTGAAAATATTTTTTTTTCAGTTCTAAAACTCATATGACTATTTATTCATACCACAAACACAGGTACTTCCCTAAAGTCTGGTATAATGAAGTATTAGAGCGTGATTTTGAATATGATTTTCATTAGTGACTATTTTTCCCCTATGCTCTTAGCTCCATGAAATCTGTTCATATCCCCTACTGAAGCTGACTGGATTGGAAACAATTTCAAAAAAATGTCTGACAGGTTCAGGTGAATAAAATCCAGTAGAGAAGTAATGACAGAAATTGTTGGCTGTCTCTCACAATCCAGTCTCTTTTTCTTCACTGTAGTGAAACTGTCAAATTTTAGACGGTGGACTGTTCTTATTTTAATTGAGCATATAGATACCCAGAGGAAACACAATGTGTTCAGCCACCTTGCAGCCAGCTGTGACTATGTGCTAGCCAATGGCTGTAGGAGAAGGTATAATGTGACAAGCTCTGGCAACTGTCTTTGAAAAACGGACAGGAGATACATTTATCTTCTTTTCCCACCCCCTTTCAGTTGGTTGGGATGAAGATGTGCTGGCTACTTCTAGAGTAGTCATCTTGAATCATAACCCAATTTTTGGCGCTCTGTGGGAAAGCAACAATGTAGGAGTTTGAGACTCTGAGGACTTCTGTTTCCTTGTTCTTCTTAAGATTTTAATTTTTTGTTTGTTTGGTTTCTGTGCTTTGAGACAGACTCTTGCTTTGTAGATCAGGCTGAGCCTGAACTCACCACAGAGCTGGCCTCTAACTTAATAGCAATTCTCCTATATCAGCCTCCAGAGCACTAGGATTAGAGCTATGTTCTTAAGATTTCAATTGCCTTTATTTTTAATTCTAGAATCTGGCAACACTTCATTTCATAAAATTGATTAAGTGTTCCACAAGTCTTTCTGAACACAGCCACAAAACCCACTTTGAATTATGTACCTTTATATTGTCACCAAGAAAAATAAGCTGCTCTTTTATTAAAGTTAATTTATTTTAGGTCTGTTTCTTCCACAAAATCTAATTC